CCTTTAGTCTTCTCCCCATTGAATCCCAGTGTAAGTTTAGCCAGCCTTAAACTCTGGTTACTTGACCGACTTCTTTGGACAGCTGCTAAAGCCTTTTAGCTCCTTTTACCTGAGCTTGCTGGACTCTGAGCTGTTACTATCTCATCTAACTCTTGCAGCACCAGATCTTTTTAGCTTCTAAGATGGCAGCTCTCTCTAGGCAGGCTTTGAGAGCTCACTTTTGCTTTTCTCCCACTTTACTGCTTTCTGGGGCTGGTTGTACTGGAGCACTAGGGCCTTCAGCAGGGGTCTTGAAGACGTGGTTCACCTTATCAATTTTTTGCTGTTACAGGCACCTTGATCATTTGGTGGCACCTTGGTCTCCCCGTCACTTGCATGTGATACAAAATAATTTAGTGTCCAGAGGGCTGAAATGTTTTAATGTTCTAATTAAATTCATTATGCTCAATATAGGTGAAATGTAATGGCTTTTGATGTACAAGGGGGCAGACTAGGTGATCTCATCCTCCTCCTGGCCTTACTTGATGAAATGTATAAAAGATCTTATTCATATATATTTGTTTCATTGTTTGCCAATTAAATAGAGTGATAATATATAGATAATTAAAATGGAAACTTTCCAAAATATGCAGTAATTTACATCTGCCCAGTTTATCTTCTGAGACTGAACATCCTCTCCCTTCTCTGTTAACCATTGTCATGCAAATCAAGTTGATTGTTGTTTAAGAAATATGAATCTTACCTTCCTTCAGCAAAAATTAGTTGACCTCTAGTACGTCTAACGCACATTTTTAGTCTCAGTGGTCTAATGTTTTGAATTAACCAATTTGTTTTCTGCTTTAAAAGTTGGTTTTATTAGTTGGTTTTAAAGTTGTTAAGCTTTTCTTAGTGATTGTCATAAAAAATCCATTTGCTTTTATTGATATATGGCACACGACTGTTGGGGTATAGATTAAGGATATTATATAGCAATTAATTGAATAGTTGTAACCATAGTTGTAACTGAATCAGAGGCAGCAGCATGGAGTGGCAGGCAGGAGCTGGTCCACAAGGGGAGCCACCAGCTCCGCGGATCCAGTGCTCATGGAGAGCTGGCTTAAAAGCTAGCTTCTCACGGGCACCATCTCCCTTCTTCCCCCCCTCTCTCCCCTGCTGTCTCTGATACAGAGTCAGCAAGGGGTGACTCTGGGGTGTGCATGTGGTAGGGATGTTAAATTTAATCAACTAATTGTCTAGTAGGTGGATTTTCCATTGACTAGTCAATTGGGGTGGGGGGAGCATGGCAGCGGGGTTAGCTCCTGGCATGTAGTCAATAAGATTAACCGATAAGCCTTGGCTTGTCCATTAATCGTGTAGTTGACTATATGTTGACATCCCTAGTATAGATATTGTGTCCTTTGGGAGGATTTCAACCTTCTGTACCTGTTAAGGGTATGTTTACCCAGCAGTGTTATTTCAGAATAACTAATGTTATTCTGAAATAACATAGTCCATGTCTAACACTACAAGCAGTTACTTTGATATAATGTCAAAATAATGTCGAGCTGGAGGACTTCTTACTCTGACTCCTGTAACCCTAATTGTACGAGGAGTAAGGGAAGTCAGAGGAAGAGTGTTCTTCCTTTGACTTCCTGCTACTGTTATAGACAGGACCAAAAGCTGAAATAAGCTATTTTGACTTAAGCTACACAATTGGTGTACCTCAAGTTGCATAGCTTATTTCGGCTTTAGCCCTGTTGTATAGTTGTTCCCTAAGAGATTGAGGTCCATGGGGAACTTGATTCTGAAGCTAGCCAAAATATCCAAGCCTGATAATGGAATCTCAGTTCTGGCTTTTTTTGACAAAAGATCTCCTGAAACAGGCCCATACCACCTGTGATAATACATCTAATTTCAGGTATAGGTTATGCCTGCTTGCAGGGCAAATGTCTGATATAAAGGCCTTTGATTAAGGTAATTTTCATAAGAGAATTTTCATAAGTTACTTTCTTCTTTGTTATGTTGGACTCAGTCTACAGTAAAAGCATTGTTGTCCAGCATGCTGGGGAATGGTGGATGCTGGTTAGTCAGATATTCTGGTTAACTAACTAAGAGTTCAAAGTGAGGGGGCTCTGGACTTAACCAAAAGGTTGGGGTATAGGAGGTGGTATTTGCTCTGGGCTGTGTGTTGGTGGTGGCGAGGGGAGCTAGAGATGAAGTGTTAAGTGTGCCGGAAGGTCTAGGCTGGGGCAGGTGGTTGGGTGAGAGTTCTGGTTGGGGGTGCGTGCTCTGGCCTGGGATGAAGGGTTTGGGCTGCATGAGGGGACTCCAGGCTTGGACTGAGAGGTTCAAAATGAATGATGGGGTGCAGTGTTCAAGCTCAAGGTGGGAGTTTGGGTGCAAGAGTGGGCTCATGGCTGGGAGTTGAGGCATGAGAGGAGTTTTGGGTTGCTGAATCTAGGCAGCATTCACCTTGGGTGGCTACACATAGGTGGCAACATGTCCCTGCTGCTTCTAGGTGGAGACGTGGGTAGGAGGATCTACATGCTGCCTCCTCCTGTAGGTACTGTCCCAACAGCTCCCATTGGCCACAGTTCCTGGCCAATGGGAAATGCAGAGCCAGCACTTGGTGGAGTGGAGGGCAGTTCCTATGCCTAGGAGCAACAGGGACATTTTGCTATTTTTGTGGAACCAAATAGGGAGCCTGCTGGCTCCTGCCAACCAGACTATAAACCGGACTTTCAATGACCATCAGAAATGCTGGTGTATACAGCTCTTGGGTTGGCACAGGATTGGATAGCAAAGCTTTTACTGTGCTGTGTTGCAGCATTGCAGGGTTTGGAAACGTTTCAGTTCTTGGTGTGATGTTCACTCTCCAGTGTATATTCTTTACTAACATTCTGGATTTTTTCAGGGTAGTTTGCCTCAGGGATAAAGGTCTGCTCACTGATTGTCCAGTTGCCAGTAACTGTGATCTCACAGGCCCACTTAAATAACATGGTGCTGGGAACATGTTCTAGTCATATCTTGTTTCTGTGGAGAATCTGAAGTTGGTTTTCAGTTCACCTGCCCTACAATGAGAATTGAACTCGGTCTTGAATGTTGTCCATTTAAGCTATTATGAAGAACTCTCTGGTTTTTATTACATATGGTCCTCTTATTACTTGCAGTAGGTTCATCTAACGAACTATCAAATTTAAAGCCATTTTCTTGAAAGGATGTAAGTGATTCATTTGCATGGAAATTTGGAATAAAAAATGCACAAAAATAATTCTAAGCTTGTTCACTAGATACAAATAATGGTGCTGGATACACAAGAAAAAAGTGTACCATGTTTTTATTTAAAACTCTTTTATTAAACAAAGGAAGTATTATACTTAGCAAATAGCACTTATTGTTCCTGGTGAAGTCCTTTTGAGATTTTACAGCAAGTAGAGCTCTTCCTCCCACCCCGAGTTTTTATTCATAGAAAGAGGAAAAGAACCTTTCCTGCTTTTTTCTTTCCTAGCTGGTTTCTCGATATTAAGCTGGTCATTGGATTGAAACTAGTTGAATAACTGAAATAAAAATACCCTCATCTACAGGTGCAGAGAAGGGTACTGCTGCCCAAAGTTGATATAGCACTTAATGCTCTGGTTTGAGGTGCTTAGCCAGTGACTTCTACCAGTTCAGTTGTGTGACTTCTTTTATAAGACTTTAACATTTGTTGTATTGATTTCAAATTTAATTTTAAATTGATTTAGTATAAAAGTATTTAATTTAAATTTAAAAAAACCCTTAATTTTATTTATTTGTAAACAAGTCTGTTTTGATCTATGCTAGTGCTCAAGACAGTGCAGTGTTTCACAAGAGGCTTCCGGTTTTGTTTAATTTAAACCAAAATATAACTGTCCCTCTTTGTCCTTAGGGAACAGCACACACAAAAAATCTGTCTCAGAAGTGCAGATGCTTTTCACTCTGCATCAAGGCTCTAAGAAAGGACAAATAGCATACCAAATCTACCTTGTATGACTGGATAGCATCCTCTCATAGATGTGTATTTTAATAAGAGGTGCCATAAGCATTGAAGTCCTACTTTGGAATTATTGGATTTGTCATGGGAAAAGTACAAACGCAGCTCTGCTGCAAATTTGTAAAGTAACCACTGCATCATGTCACATCTTTTCAAATGTTAGAGTGAACGGATAGCTTCAGTATATGTAGCATTCAGAGGGAGAGTACTGTAGGCGTCTGTGAGTTGTTAGTCTCTCTCACTACGTCTAGATTACATCCTTTTTCTCAAAAAAGGGATGTAAATTAGACATTTCAAAATTGCAAATGAAGCCAGGATTTAAATTTCTCACGCTTCATTTTCATAATGGCAGCTGCGGTTTTTAAAAATGGCTGTTTAAACTGGGATCATTCAAAAATAAAACCCTTTTTCGAAAGATCCTCTACTCATTTTTTCAGGAGTATGGGATCTTTTGAAAAAGGATTTTATATTTGAACGATCCACGTCTAAACAGCCGTTTCTCTTTTGAAAAGCCCCTTTTTAGGAAAAGAAAAGTGGCCGCCATTATGCACATGAAGCACGGGAAATTTAAATCCCGGCTTCATTTGCAATTTTGAAGTGTCTAATTTACATCCCTTTTTCAAGAAAGGGATGTAGTTTAGACACAGCCTCTGATAGGAGTCTGTAGTATGCTTTGGATGATCTCAGGCATCAAAATTAGCATAGGCGATCACAAAGAAACTGGGGAATTTTCCTTGTTTGATTACTTTCTCTCAGGACATTTGTGCCAGTTCATACTCCATTTTTTTTTTAGGCTAAACATCCCTTTAGATAGTTTCAGTCTATGCTTAAAATATGTTTTACATTTTTAACTTTAAAAGTTAGCATATTATCATAGAATTGTTCTTAGAAGTGTTAACTGAGCTTATTGAGCCAGCTAGGCGCTTATGTTTGGGATGATTCACCAAAAAGGTTTTATGTACTTTCTCACTCTCCTGCAAGTATCTGAACTGGCAGAGGATCTTGAAAGAACATTCTTCAGGTAAAGAAAATTTTCCATCAAGATTCTTCTGTTCAGTTTCAGTGTAGAATTCTGGCTAAAATATATGTGAAATTGTGAAATGAGTTGATCTGCATAGGACTCTGACGGGAATATTGAAGTTGTTAATACATATTTCGTACAAATGTGTCATTTATTTTATGCTCTTACAAAAATTAGTTTGCTGCAGTGCAGATCATTCTGTTGTCTGGGGAAGAGCAGAGGGAAAGAAGGGTTCCATAATGGGGAAAAGGTGAGAGAGCAACAGTTCTTCCATTAGTGGAGGGCAATTTTGGCATCCAGAAAGATTTCTTTTTGCTAGATTGGAGTGGGATGGGAGTGTCCCTTTGCTCTAACTTCACATGGCCAAAAGTATTTTCTTATAGCTGGGAAAAGTCCCGTGTGTGTTCGTATGTTTGTTTTTAGAGTAGGTAGGGGAGGGTCAGAAGTTCCTAACTCCAGTTTTCTTTTTTTCTTTTTCTTTTCATGGTGTGATGAAATAAAACCTATTTTGAATCAAGGCTCATGGGTCTAATATTGAGTCCGATCTAAGAGTATTTTTTTTTAAATGTGTATCAAATCTTGAGAGGCGGAGAGAGTTCTTCTAAATGTAATTTAGCTCCAGTATTGATAACATAAATACTTTTGAGCTACATCTACAGTACACGTTTTTGCAGCAGAAAATATGCTAATGAGAGACTCATTAGCATAAGTCGTGACATCATTAGCATATTTTCTGCTGTTTCTTTTTACGCAAGGGGTTTTTGTGCAAAAAGAAGAACTGTGGATGTTTCCTTTTTGCGCAAAATCCCTGTTTTGTGCAAGATCCTTATGCCCCCCCCCGACAGGACGTGTAGTGTAGACGTAGCCTTGGTGGGCAAATTGCCAACACCAAGTCTTTGATTGAGTGCATGCACAGATAAGTTGTATCATCTCTGAAAATTGCCTTTTTTCTATATGTGAGTTACAGGATTGATTAAAATTCACAAGTTCTGAACAGTTAAAGTGGAAAGATGGCAAGACTTATGAATCTGGTTGCAAACAAAACAATACTAGTTGGTCTATAACTACATAACCATTAAGTATTATTGGCCAGTCAAGTGACTTAAAATGGTTTATTTTTAGTATACCAGCTCCCATTACTATATGTGAAGTTTACAGAAGTCAATCTTTAATCTTTTATGAGAAAAGGGTGTGAGTTCAGCGATGAAGAGAGAACACCAAACTGCTTTTTAAATATTCAGTTTTGAATTTGTTTCCAAAAATGACTTCATGTGACTCAGTGCAATAGTGTATTTGCTAATAAAATTTAAATTCTAGCCCCAGGTATATTTAAAAATTTGCAAGTAGTTTTCAAGTTAAGATGTTCACTAACCTGACATCCTAACAATTAACTTTTCGTGATTATAGATAACTACTCTTATTAACCATAAGGATAAACCAAAGAGATCAGACAAGACTCTACAAGCAATTCAGCGGGTGGGCCAAGCAGTTAACCTGGCAGTTGAAAGATTTGTTACAGTAGGAGAAGCCATAGCCAACGAAAATCGAGAATTGAAAGAGGAAATGAGTATTGCTTGCACTGAGGCAAAACGAGCAGGTATGTGGTTGTTTAAGAACTCTGCCATTTATGTTGCTAAGTTACGCCTGACATTGAAAATAAAAGAAATGTTGCTGTCATCTACTGCAGCTATTAAACATGATTTTTGCAGTTGTTAAAATATCTTTTTCATGACCAATACCTGATTGGTACCAACAGTGTTCTCACACCACCTGCTGTTTAAATTTGCACCATTATGTCTAGCGTTGGCAGATGATGCTATTCTTGTAGTATACTTTACTTTGTAGAACAGTTTGTCACAAGAAGACTCACTTTTCCCTTCTTAACTTAATCCCCCTCTCCCCCAAGATCACTTTCCCTCAACAAAGCCTAAAGTTGTTCTTAACAGTACTTTCAGAATAACTAAGATGAATCTACCTAGTTTCCCATTCCTTCCAGTAATTTAAAATTGGAGCACCTCTATTTATAGTTTTATAAGATCTTCTTTAAATTAAGGAGATATAAATTGGTGAACTGAATTACATTTTAAGAAACAATAGCTTTACATCTCGTTGTGGCTTCACAAAATTAACTTGAAAACTTTTGTTCTTGCAATTTGTAATTCATTTTAATATGGAATCATCTAGCAAATATGTTTTTAAATTGTTATTTTAAAGGTCCCATTTGTAGGGTATATTTTAGTTTAGTTTTACAAAGCCATTGTAAGAAAGAACAAAACCACCAGAAAATATAAAACTTGTCTTTTTTCATAATTTTTCTCATTCATCCAAAACAACAAAAAGTGTCACTAAAAATAAAATTACTTCAATGTTAACACTGAAGTGTTGTGTAGAGTTTCAGAATGTTAACAAAATCCAAATACAGCATGTGAAAACCATTTATAGATATGCTTTCTTAATGCAACATGAAGCATTACTCCAGCCAATGATTTAAAAAATGCGGGCATTTGTCACTGATTTGTCTTCATTGACATTCACCGTCAAGGCCTTCAGAATTCAAATACTTAAATATAACCTAAACTTAATAGCTTTATTTATTCCTATACCAAATAATCTTTGAGTAATTGTCTATATAGATTCATTACTACTTGTACTCTTGACCCCAATGAACACATGATTACTAGCCAAAAGAATCCAGTATCCATTGGAGCTAGAAAGGACAGTGCAGGACCAGCCCTCCATACCACCTGGCAGTGAGATGAAACCTAAGCATAGTGGGCATTGTTAATTAGTTTGGTTAATTAAGTTAGTTGCCCACTGTCAAAAAAGTTAATATTTTAGGGTAGAGCACCTACACTTTGTGCCATAATGCTAGCCACTCTGTAACAAGTCTCTCCTGAAGTGTTTTGGTGCCTGTTAATAGGCACTCTGGTGTCTGTTCTGCCTTAGAGCAGGACACATCTATCTGTTGCTCTTTGTCCAAGTTCACTTATAACAAGTAAACGCTGCCTGAAACTGTTCCCTAAAAAATCGATGCAAGCTGCCTGAGATCACCAAGAGGATGGCTGTAACCATACTTCAGCCATCTAATCAGTCCTTCTCTGTTAATGTCCTTGGGAGGTCTGATTCCAACCCCATATCCTGAACCATGTTTTCTCAAAGGCCCCATTCATCTGCTGTTACATCAGCATTCATATCTTCAGGTAGGCAGACAGATGTTCTCCAGAGATGAGCCAACACTTAGGTCATTGGTCTGTAGCAAGAAAAACACAGCAGAAAAAGCCATTGCAGTTTACAGTTGACATACTGCTTTCAGGACTGCATCTGTTTTCTTTTGGGATATTTACTTGAGATATTAACTAATAAACAGTACCATGTTTTTCAGTGTTTGATTAGAGAACATAACTTTCTGAAATGGAGAATTATTGTTGGCCAATGGGAGCTGCTTGTTTGAATAACAGGCAGCTAAGAAGAACCACGCCCGCTCTCCTCTGCTCAGTTATTCACTGAAGCACATGGCCAGGTAAGCAGACGGGCTGGCTGGGAAACATTTTAAGCTCTGCAAGCCGTAGCTCTGTAGGCAGGCAGGCTGGTTTGGCTGCTGGATGGTTAGTTTTCTGACTGTAGCCTGTCTCTGGCACTCCAGCCCCACCCTGCCCCAATACTCTGTCCCCCTTCAACATACCCAAATCCTTTGTTCCCCTCTTGCACCCATACCCTCTCCCAGATCTGGCAGCCCAATCTCCTGCCCCAGACCACAATCCCCTTCTCCCCTAGGTCATATCCCAAACCCCTGTTGTCCAATCACTAGCAGGCTGAGTGGGACTCACTCAGTCACAACTGCTTCCTTCACCCAAACTTCCTCCCAGACTCCAGTCTTCCCTCTGCACCCCAATCCTTTACCCCAAGCTCCCCTCGGCACACAACCTGCATCCCAGACCCCGCACCTCCTCCATTAATATCATAGAAGAGTGTGGAACTCGATCGCTTTTCAAAATCTTGGCGTGGCCTCCTGTCAAAAATCATTACCTACCCCTGAATTAATGCCTCAACATCACTGCCTTCTAATTAGGCTGCAGGGTGAGCATGTGCCACCCCATTGATCTCTGACTGGAGATCAGCCAGGCTCTCACAAGCTTCCCAGCAGAGCACCTGTGCAGCTGCTGGTGGGGGGCAGAGACTGGCTTTGGCCCTACACCCTATAGGAGGTGTATAGACTATCCTTCTCCCCCAAATGTTGCTGCTCTCAACCCTGAATGTTCCTCTCTGCTCCAGTTTGAAACCTGTGCATTTGTCCTGTTTCCTCTTGTTCCTATGATCAGTTGGCAGGAACATATGTCCAGTTCTGCCAAAAGAAAAAGGGGGGGGGGGGGGCTTCTGAGACAGGACTTAAAAAAGGAGCACTGTCCTGACCAAAATGGGGCATATGGTTACCTAGAGATGGTAGATTTGAGATGCGATGTAAGGGAATTTGGTATTTTCATCTTCATGTTTTGTATATGGTATTGAGCTTTTATGTTTGTTCTTAGAGCACAGAAATTACTCATTTAAAGCATGTGAGTAATGTAAATTATTAGGATTTAAACCTGTTTTCTCAAGGTTAGTAAAAACTTAGAACATGTTTAAAAACATTTGGATCAAGTGACTTCTATTTTAGATATATATATACTTTTTTAGACATCATAATAGTATATCTATTGCAAAGTATGAGCACACTTGTGTTATAGGGATATAAGCCAAATAGACACAATCTTGTAGTTGTGAAATTTTACATTATTCAATTTTTGAAATATTTTGCATTGTTTCTTTTCTCTGTTCTTTCTGTCTTTCTCTCTGTATTGTCTTCCTAAAACCTATACACTATAGTCTTATTACAGTGCTTCCCCAGTAACCCAACAAATACAAAACTATGTTATTGGAGATTTAAACATTCTGCGGGGGCTGCTTATTCTTTACAGTTGAGATTTTTTTTAAAGTAAAATGAAATCTACAAATCAGTTAGCTTGTGAGAATTCCAGCCAGGAGCTGACAGAATAAATGCTGGTTGGACTATGGGTTTTTCTGTTTTGTTCCAGTGCTTGCATGAACTTAATTTTTGCTATTAAAAAAAAAGATGGGAGAGCAATTCTAACCTTAATTTTTCCCAAAGCAAAATTAAACCTTGCTCTTGAGAGGAAAACTAAAACTTGAGTCATTTTTGAAATAGAGAAGGAATGAGTATCAAGCATCTGGAAGCTGAAGTGAAGAGACAGTTGTCTGTAGTTAATAATAGGAAATTAGACAAATGGGAGCAGGCATTAGGTCAGCAAGGCCGGTGCCACTTATCCCTTTTAATTTAGGAATTTTTTGATGTTCCTAGCATTTTTCTGTTTCAAAACCACAAGAAGTTGTTTGTTTATCTTTTTTAGGTGAAACAATTGCACAACTTACCGATGTAGCTAACTTGGATCATCCAGAATCTGATGGCCGGATAACAATTTTTACAGACAAAACAGGAGTAGTAAAAGCTGCAAGATTGTTGCTTTCTTCAGTGACAAAAGTGCTGGTGCTGGCAGACAGAGTAGTTATTAAGCAAATTATAGCTTCCAGAAACAAGGTATTAAGTGTCTTTTTGTTATTTCTGTTTTGGAGATGTGAGAGTGGTCCCAAATGAAGTAATACTTTGCACTGCAGTTACAGTGAACCCTCGTTTATCGCGGTAGATAGGTTCCAAACCCGACCGCGATAGCTGAAAATCCGCGAAGTAGGGACACCATATTTACGTACTGTAAATAGAAACCGATAGGTCCCCCCACCCCCTACAAAGTTTCCCCTGTGATTAGCCTATACTGTATTGTAATTCCATATCATTCTTTAATGCTGCACAAAAGCCATCTGTAATGACGAATGATATGAAAGTATAAAGACAATAGGCAAGCACGATATGATACGGATATAAAAAAAGTCCGCGAAGTCGTGAATCCGCGATGGTCGAACCGCGAAGTAGCGAGGGCTCACTGTAGTATTAAAAAATATGTTTTTTCCTCCTTATTTTAAGTATATATATTTTATGAGAAGATACGGTGAAACTTGTGAAAAAGTCTGTTTAGAGTCTTTATGTCAGGAAATACTGAATTAAGAGATTTGGGTCACACTTGCAAATAACTTGTCTTTCTTACTTTGCTTTATATTCGCTTGCCTGTCAATATGGTTAAGTTTGTTTAATCTGTTAGTGGCATTTCTTGGTGATGAGGGGGAAGTAAAACAAAATTATTAAAATATATACCTTGTGGCAGTATTTATCCATCCAGTGTCTGAAAAGTGGTTATTGGTGGGCAAGTGTCTTAAGTTATTTTGGTGACTTTAAGCATTGTCAAAAGACTACGTATATACTCGAGTATAAGTCGACCCGAATATAAGCCGAGGCACCTAATTTTACCCCAAAGAACTGGGAAAAACTATTGACTCGAGTATAAGCCTAGGGTAGGAAATGAGGCAGCTACTGGTAAATGTAAAAAATGAAGATAGATACCAATAAAATTACATGAATATTTATTTCAAAGAAAAACAATAACCTAGCTCTGTAAGTGGAAAAGGGGGTCAACAAAAACAATATGGTATCAAAAATACCGTAACTTTAAAAGTACAACAACCTTAGCTCAATCAGCAACCAAGCTAACACACAAGAGCTAAAATCCTTCAAAACTGGAGTTCTCCTCCTCATCATCTGTATGTCCAAACAGAGCTTCAGCTGGTGTGAGGTTATCAGCATAGACATTGTCATCATCACTGAGTTCACAGTCATCACCATCACTGCTGTCGTTCTCATACAAAGCGCTGTCTTCACTGCCATCCATAGCATTACTAATGCCACATTTCTTGAAGGCGCGTTGCACCAGGTCCTCTGGAATCTCTTCCCATGCATCACGAACCCACTGTGCTATCAATTCTATGTCTGGCTTCCTCAGATTTCCAACTTTTGTCAGTCGAGCTTGACCAGATGACATCCATTCATGCCACATCTTTCGCACACGGTCTTTGAAAGGTTTATTTAAACACACATCTAGGGGCTGCAATACAGATGTAAGCCCACCTGGAATAACTGCCAAAGTAACTTGAGAAGACTTTGCCAATTTTTTTATGTCATCAGATGTGTGGGCTCTGAACATATCCCAAACTAGCAATGATGGTTTTTTTCTTTAAGGTTGCTCCTGGTCGTCCGTTCCAAATTTCTTCCAGCCATTTTTTTGTTCTGTCTTCATCCATCCAGCCTTTAATATGTGCACGCACTATAATTCGTGGTGGGAATTTGACCTTTTTAGGCAAGGTCTTTCTTTTAAAAATAATGACAGGCCGCAGCTTTTTCTAGATGCTATTTTGTGAAAAAGATGAGATGGTGTGTTAGCGTTCGTCTACTTTGACACAGAAAAATACTGGCTTTTATATTTCCTATTGGGTGCAAAGAATAGCTGTTGGTAAAATAGCAGTGAAAATTTCTTCTATTAGATCCAGCAGGAAATTTTAAAACATGTTTACACTAACTGTCAGCAGCAAGACAACACATTCTCAACATATCAGAAGTTCAAGAGCTGAGGAGAGAGTCCATATCTGAAGCAGTACAGATGAATGGAAAGAAATGCTAAAAAGAGAGTCCCTGTCTATTTTTTTAGATAGACCAAGTAGGTGAGGTAATATCTTTCATTGAAGCCACAGAAATTTGTCCAGTCAAGCTTTCAGGTTTCACAGAGCTCTTACTCAGGAATGAAGTATTGTAACCAGATTTTCACAGCTTAATACAAGGTGAGACAAATTGTTAAGCATAAGGGGTTGACACGTGTTATAGAAAACCACTTTAAATAAAGTGGGCAGTTAAGCTCTGAGGCTTGTCTCTTGAAGCTGTTGGGCAGATTTTCTTTGGGGACAAGGACTGGGAGGTCGTTCATAGAGTGATCAAATAAGAAAAATGAATTATAGGGTGCTCTTGTCTTTTTCTGTGGCTTGAGTGGGTAGTGATTGTGTGGCTTCAGCCACATAATTATTGTTCATGGCCTTTAGTGCTTTGGAAGAGGTACACTGAATGTTGTGACAGGCATGTGTAGGACCCATGGCTCATGAAGATGTGTTCGGGGGAGAGATGACTCCAGATGCAGGTTTTGCATCCTTGTTTGTGCCAGAGTCTGATACTGCTTTGAGTTCTGATGCCCTAGTAGGTGGGAAACTTGCTTCTCTTGAGCATCACCAGGTTGGGGGGTGTTTGGAGATCAGAGGAGGGAGTCTGGGGGGAAGAATTTGCAGATTGTGGTCACTATCAAGTATGGATTGTAATTGTTTGATACCTAAGTCGCTTCATTTTCAGTTTATACCATTTTTAACAACATTCTGAGGTTTTTTTAAAAAAAGTATTCTGTTCTCATTTTTCACCCTACCTTTGTATAATTTAAATATATATTAAAAACTTGTTTTATTAAGAAAATGCAATATATTGCATCAGATATTACCATAGTACATATTTATTACTTTGTGTGTATATGCAAAACTGCCTTTTGAAGTAAGGCTATGTATTAGTCTAGAAGAAACATACAGTAAACAAATAGGTACACATGCAAGCTGTGAAGAGCCCAATTATTAAATGTAAATATTTATAGGCTCATAGTTCTAAGTCTACAACAGGAACTGTTTATTCAAAGGAAAAGTTTTTTAGGGGATTAGAAAGATGTTTTCTTAAACTCCGAGATAGCATTATGTTTTGAGTTCTATTTCAGTTTTGCAAGAAAGCACACTGATGAACAGAATTCAAAGCATTAATCTACTGAATACTTATTTCTTTCTCTTTACATCCACTAAAATAAACCCTGGGATTTACTCAGTAAAAAATAATAGTTTGTTGCACTCATTTTCACCTGTTTTTGTTGTTGTGGTAATAAGCACTAAGAATTTTCCAGGAACAATTAAATAAAATAAAAACTGAAAATGAAGGGTCCCAGAGGGCTCATACTATGCTTAAAGGGCAGAGCCGTAGTGGGGTTTAGCTCCTGGTAGCAGCATGAGTCGTGACTGAACAGTTCCGGCTTGCGCCGACCCTGGGACCATTGCGATTCTGCCTCTCCTGCAACTGCCCCGCACCAAGGAGACAGTTCTGGGGGGAACCAGCTTTTAAGCTGGCTCCCCCCAGCACCAGTTTCTGCTCTCCTCTCCCCATTCTGCCCCTGCTACCTTGATAAAGAGGCAGCAGCGCAGGGGGGCAGGTGATTTGAGGGAGCCCGCTGGAAAGCCACTTCCCGCATGTATTGGCTCCTGCCTGCTCCCTCACTTCCCCACTCTGCTGCCTCTCTGTCAGTTATGAGCCCCAGATCTCCCACAGGACTGAAGCTGGCAGCTGTGGGGATGAAATAGGCTCTTGGGTTTTGAAAAATCCTTTTTTAAAGTAAGTGGGATCTTCTAAAACTTATTTTTTTTCAGATACTGGGAGAAAAGGGAACTGGTTTTGTTCTGAGAGGAAAGGGAATATTAAATGTTTATCCTTGTTGGCTTTCAAAACAAACGGGTCTCATATTTTGAGTGAAACAGAGTGATTAAAATATTTTCCAGCTACAGGAAAAGAGCTTTTTATCACCTCTTCTTGCTTCATTTCCAAATCTTGATATAATAGTCTTAGATGATCCGGTTTATTTGTACAATCCATGTACTCTCAACTAATACCATTTGTTAGTCAAATTTCTGCTTTTCTATTTACTGAAGGAGCAGTTTTACTGCAAAGCGTTGTTAAATGAGAAATTAAGAAAATAGATAATTACTATTTATTAATAGATAAAATGCAGTTTAACGTGTAAACATACTAAAATCTGCTTTAGAAGTTTCTGCAAAACACTTTCTACGCTTTTTGGAAAATTCCTCATTTTATCTTACTTCTGCAGTTTTACAGGTAACAAATAGCCATCATAATTTTCTTCAACATATTCAACAGGTTCTTGCAACAATGGAACAGCTAGAGAAAGTGAGTAGTTTTCAAGAGTTTGTGCAAATATTCAGTCAGTTTGGAAATGAAATGGTGGAGTTCGCCCATTTAACCGGAGACCGACAAAATGTAAGTACTGGTGAAAAGTGTCTCAAGGTTTATTGCAAATAAATGACTTTTGGCTTTATTCAACAATCAAGTTTGGATTCTTTTTTAAAGAAAAATTATTCCAGTTCCACTACAGAAAACAAAAAATACTTGTATCCTCATCCTGCAGTTGTTTCCAAAATCCAGTTTCCTCTCCTGACTTCTCACAGAGGTGCACCATTCTTAGCGAATTACTTTCAAAATATGGAGTATTTGCCAGTATTTTATCATTTGAAAGCTGCCGAAACAGGTGCTTAACTCCCATGTTCTTGTTACTCTATACCTTCCGTGTAACACAGATGAGCACTGTCTCAGCAATCCTAAGGCACATTTTTCTCAAAGAAGTGGTATCCACCAAGCTACAAATAATCAGGGAAACCCCAGCATGGGAACTAATGCTTTTCCTTTTTTCCTAATACCAAACTGGGTGGGGTTGCAACTTCTTTGGAGGATAGGGACATAATTCAAAATGACCTTAGCAAGTTAGAGAAATGGTCAGAGGTAAACAGGATGAGGTTTAATAAAGAGAAATGCAAAGTGCTCCACTTAGGAAGGAACAACCAGTTCCATACATACAAGATGGGAAGCGACTATCTAAGAAGGAGCATAGCGGAAAGGGATCTAGGGGTCATAGTGGACCACAAGTTGAATATGAGTCAACAGTGTGATGCTGTTGCAAAAAAAGCAAATATGATTCTAGGTTGTATCAACAGGTGTGTGGTAAGCAAAACTCATGAAGTCATTCTGCCGCTCTACTCTGCACTAGTTAGGCCTCAGCTGGAGTACTGTGTCCAGTTCTGGGCACCACATTTCAAGAAAGATGTGGAGAAATTGGAAAGGGTACAGAGAAGAGCGACAAGAATGATTAAAGGTTTAGAGAACATGACCTATGAAGCCAGGCTTCATGAACTGGGCTTGTTTAGTTTGGAAAAAAGAAGATTAAGGGGGGACATGATAGCGGTTTTCAAATATCTAAAAGGGTGTCACAAGGAGGAAGGAGAAAATTTGTTCCTCTTGGTTTCTGAGGACAGGACAAGGAGTAATGGGCTTAAAGTGCAGCAGGGGAAGTTTAGATTGGACATTAGGAAAAAATTCCTAACTGTCAGGGTGGTCAAATATTGGAATAAATTGCCAAGGGAGGTGGTGGAATCTCCCTCTCTGGAGATATTTAAGAACAGGTTAGATAGACATCTGTCAGGGATGGTCTCAGTGACAGATGAACCTTGTGAAGTGACAGGTATTCCCTCAGTCAGTGACATGTTAAGGCTAAATATGACCCAGATCAGATCAAGACTGTGATCTATTTGCATATTTCTTGCTGAAGTTATTGAAATATTTTGAGTCTTTTTGGAGAATGTGGTCTGATGACTGATGTTTAGTTCTGTGTTAATTCATCAGCAACTGTTTTGAAGGAGTATAAGGAAATCTGGCCTCTTTCCTGAAATGATTTTCTTGTAGTTTGAGCTTCAATGTGCCACTGCCCAGTAATTTTATCAGGGGGAAACATCACTGTTGGTGTTTTCCATTATATTTAATCACGCTAGGCGTGTGTGCAAAATTTTAGGTTTGTTCATTGTTCTTAGGGTGAAATGTGAACATCTTGAAGAAACAAAGCACAGTTTCCTTTAATGTGCTCTAGAGGGTTGACCTTGTGTTCTGCATTTGTTTAATAGTTTTTAACTCCACAAGAGACTATTATGGTGCTTTATCTGACCAGCTGCCTAACTTAGACCAGTTAATTTCGCTCAGTAATTCTTGCATCAAGCCCATAATTTCTGGCAGATGAAATATAATTTTGTCATTAAGCATTCTTTTGTTTTCTTTTGTCCCATTTCCCTCAACACATGCTTAACAACTACCACAATCAAGGCTGATTATGATCAAATATGAACACTTTTCCCAGAAGTTGCGGCTCTGCGTTAAAAGGAGCTTGGGAACTGGCAGGCAGGCAGGCTGGCTTAGTCCCAGCCCGTGCTGGTACTAGCAGCTACTTCCACTGCAGCTCTGCATTAAAATTTGTGCTACTCTTGAGTTTCCCTTTGTATAAATAGATTGGTTTCTAGCTGAGCCTATTAAGTGTTTCATTAAGTAAAATTGTATGCATTTACTATTTTAACTACCAAGGTTGTAACAATATAAAAGTATAATTTAAAAAAAAAAAAACGAATAACTTTTGGTGTCTTTACAAAGATTTCTCATTCTTTGGTTTGGCAAGTTTTTTAAAGGTGACAACAAAAAAAGCACTGGGTTTATGCTTTTTATTTGCTTTATGATGTATTCTGATGTTTGATGTAATCTGATTCTCCCCCTCATTTCCCTTCACACAGTTTTATTATGGGTGGATTTTTTGCTTGATTTTTACTTTGGAAATATCAAGTCTTGCCTTCCCAAATATTCATCAGGACTCCTTTGGATGAGCAGATTTAAGGAGTGGGAGCTTTCATGGAACATAGCTGGAGGACTTGGGATATTGAATATATTGGAGATGTTTTCTTTAGGAGTTTGACTCTAATGGATGTTATTAGAAATAAAATATAGTTTTCAAAATAGTCTGACATAAAATATTCCCCAATTCAGTTGTTTAGGTTTCGTTCTTTTGAATCTTGTGATGTCATAATTCTGCACATACTCCGGATTTCCAAGAAATTGTCTGGTGAAAATAGAGTGATATTTCAAGATTCACACATTATAAAGTATCTCATAAAATTTTTTTTTTACCTTTCTTTGTCTATAAGTAGCTAATTTTGTCGGCTATCATCCAAGAATATTCAGTGTTTTCATTTTCTTTGCATAGGATTTAAAGGATGAAAAGAAAAAAGCTAGAATGGCCGCAGCTAGAGCTGTTCTTGAGAAATGTACCATGATGCTTCTCACTGCTTCAAAGGTAAGAATTCTTATAGTTTGCTCAATGTTGGTGAACCGCGGATTATAGTAGCTGGCAGAATAAGGTAACCTTGTTTCCCTAGCTATAGTTAAAAAGATTGCATCAAAATAAATTTGAATGTAAAATGTTGTTGGGAAGAGGCTTTTCTATGAGTTATGCTAAAAATGTTTCTGTGTCAACAGTAAGTTAATTTAAGGAATTTTTAATAACATTACACATTTTTGCTTTAGGCAAGGTATAGATGAGAGTATTTGATTTTACTACATGTGGACTTTTGGGTAATATATTAAATTTACTTTTAAAGACATGCCTGAGACATCCTGACTGTGAATCTGCTCGTTTAAACAAAGAAGGAGTGTTTCATCGAATGAGATTAGCTTTGGAGCAGGTAATAGAGATCATAACTGACTCTAGACCCAGTGGAGAGAATGAAATGGTCCCCATATGTATATATGCTAGCATCAAAGTATTCAAGGTAAGGATAAAGACAGTACTATTATTCTATGGCTTTAAAGAATTAATTGCAACAAATTTCAAAAATACATATTTATAGTAGGAAACTAATTTCTCTTCACCTTGAATGAGTGGCAGTTTCCAATATCAGGCCTTGCACAAAGCTCCCAAAAGTTTGTTATAGTTTGAAAAAAAGATACTTACATTTTATCTGTTGCTGCCACTGCGCATCATTTGCTAATGTTCCTACCTCTTAGAACTAGGGATGCAATAGTGTAGATGGTTAACCGATAAGCAAAAGCTTATTGGTTAATGCTATTGACTACACACATTTCTTCCCTCTCCCCTCTCTGTCAGTAGATTTTTTAGCAGGCTGGCCAGCAGCCCATCTCAGTCCTGGTTCTCACTGGGTCCAGGACCTATCCCCACTGTGGCTCTGCATGTAGAATGTATTAGGAGCCGGGTGAGCAGGCAACCCAGTTTGTGCTGGGTACGGGACCTACCCAGTACAGAGGTAGGTCCCGGATCCAGCACGAGCCAGAACTGAGCCAGACTACCTGCCCAGCCAACTCCTAATATACTTTTAATGTAGAGCCACAACGGGGGTAGGTCCCGGATCCAGCATGAACCAGGACTGAGTGCTTTAACTGCCTTCCCTTATCAGCCAATTGTGTACTCGATAAAAATTCTATTTATTACACGATTAGCAAATTGCCCGCTTCTTCACATCCCTACTTAGAACATGCGGGGATGTAGATCAAAATGTGTTTAGATTTATATTCTGTGCTGAAGTGCTGCTCTCGCTCTCACAGATAGCAGGGTATGTCTAACGCAGCACTAAATCCGGGTTCTGACTCAGGTTTAAGGCCAAGACCTGCTTCTGTCCAAATCATTCTTTCGGGCCCACTGACCTTACTGGGGGTATGGATCAGAGCCTCTGTGCCTCCATGAAATGATTCAAAGCCAAAGGCTGCAGCTCAAGTCCTGTTTGGCAGTTTCGGATTTGAAGTGTCCACAAATGCTATCCCACTGTCCTCTGGAGCTGTGCTTCTTAGCCTTTCAATCCCAAAGCTTTCTGCTCACGTCCCAGGAACAGGAAACAACTTCCTGGTTCAAATGTAGCTGCTCACATTTAACCCTTCACTTCCACATGGACTGCTCAACTGGAAACATAATCAGTGCCGGCATGCATTTGAATGACCAGTAATAAAATCAAGTCTTGTATTGGGCACATTGCTAACTGGCCAGAGAGACAGAGCTAGATTGTAGGTAAACTCTGGTGCAAGGTGAGCAAAACATTCAGTGTCATCAAAAGCACAAGAAACGATCGTGTCTGCGAAACTGTATACAAGTGGATGGCGGCGTTGGAGATCAGCTGGATTGCATAACCATATAGAGAATGAATCAAGCAACTGAAGACAGAGTATCACAAAGTTAAAGATGCTTACATCACATTCCAGCACCATTCTACCACTACAGTGTGTTTAGCTGAATCGTCTTTTGCCAAGTCCTCTGAAATGGGGATACAGTTTCATAAGCCATGGCAGTGGGTTAAGTGTGGTCTCCTAGAATACCAGTAGGGTCAAGTGACTCCATTTGTAACGATGTTATTCAAGGGAAGTAATGTCCCAGCTTCTTGATCAGGAGAAAGTCTTGATCTTTGCAGCGCCCGGGCAATATGCACACTATCAGTGCATTCTACACTAATTTCATGAATTTCCCCCTGTGCCTGACCAGGGGCGAACAGCGGAGTAGTACACTTTGTCGTATATGTATTCGTGCTTCTTCCAGTGTACAAATTATAGATATGAGTCACATCCATGAGCCGTCACAGATTGGAAAGCTCATTCTCTGAAAACCAGCAGTTATTTCAGGAACACTTATAATACCCCTCACCTTTGGGTATATCCATCCTCTCCTCATAACAGCCCTTGTAATTGATTTGCTAATTCCAAACTGGAGCAGTCTGAGGTTGCCAGACTCCTTATGGCTATAGCAATTTGCCTTGGACCAGCATGGCCTCCATTATGCAGTTGTCATGATGCTAGGGGAAGCTGATCACAAGCCTCTAGGAATATCTGCTTCTTCCTGTGAAATCTCAGGACCCACTGTTAGTCATTCCTGTGTCCACATGGTGATGTGATCCCACCAGTATGTACTTTGGCCCTGTTCTAGAAGCACTGGTCTACATATGGGGAGTTTGTGATTAGGTCAACAGGCATGGACAACAGCTGAGTTGTAACTCGAATGAGATTATCCCCAGATGTTCTGACTGCAGGGACTATGGACGCAGAATGGCTTCGCAGGATGTATTCATGGGATAAAACCACCCAACATGCTTCCAGTTAATTCCTGTGAGACAGACAGACAAGTTCTTCTACAGGTCTCTGGAAATCAAGCCATAGAGTAGCTACAGCTGGCAAAAGTGCTAGGACCTCTTGGGTTTCGATAGCCCACACACCCACAAAAGCTGAAGTTGTAACTTGGGTCTACTTGCTGTAGTATGGATGCTCCAGCATGGCTGGGAGGCCTACATTCCCAATGCATTGTGGATGTTCAAGTGGAGACGTAGAAATGCCAAGTTTGCAGGGGTGGTTCGCATTGGTCTGGGCTTAGTGCGCTGTGTAGACATACCTGTTCCTGTTTCAGCCAGAGTTTCCCTAAACTAAGTCATCAGTAGGTGGGCTAAACAAGCTCTTAGGTGATAATTAAACTTCGAACATATTGTAGATTAGGTTTATCTTCTCATTCATGCCATAAATAGAGGGCCTCCTCCCCTTCCCCTTTCCTATTTATTTTGGGTGTCCACATCCTAAACTCATAACTCCAGTCATCTGAAGAAGTGGGCTGTGTCCACAAAAGCTCATGATACCATCTACATGTTTTGTTCGTCTATAAAGTGCTACCAGACCATTTGTTGTTCTTAACTTTTCTGTTTGTTTCAGTGGTGAGACACAAATTATATTGCTAATGGTGCTAATAAGTGAAGAAACAAAACAAAATGGATGTCTGTGGGTGGGTAAAATATTTCTTTATGGACAAAAAGTACTTAACAGTAGGCTAAAGGAAAGCTGAAGGGTGGGAGAAAATGCATGACACATCCTCTATTTACATGAATGATTAACAGCGAATTGAATTTTATTCTTTTCAGAATAAGGTGGAAGGTCTTCGGGAGAATCTTTATGTTATCTCTCAGGAGAATCTTTCAGCAATGCTGGACCTCATTCTGGAACACACAGAGGACTTTACTGATTCTGCCTACACCAGCCATGAGCACAGAGAACGCATCTTGGAGCAGTCCAAGCAGGCTAAAATGGAACTAGAGCAGCTGGTTTCAGTGTGGATGCAAGCTGTAAGAGCTTTTTAACAAAGTAAATCTTTTCATCTATACTTTCGAAAGAACAATATGTTTTTTAGCCTTTTTCTCCCTTTTTTTGTTTAAGAAAACAGGATTATATATAATATATCAAAAAGCAGTTAATATAGCAACCTCCACCCCAGTCCTCTACAATACTATGGCAGCCTTGAGGATATTTTAATAGTCCATGGTTTTAGTTTATCTCTTTCTCTTCCCCCATAATACTCTCAATTCTGGTCACCATCCTTGTGGTGAACATTTGCATGGCATTCCTTTAGGAGTTTAGTTGTTGCTCCTTAATTAATTAAAAGAATTACTGTTGAGTAATGAGATTTTTATTCTCATTCTTTCTAAAAAAGAGAAAATTCATTTTTAATTAAAAGAAGAATAATAGTGGGCAGAATATATTAAATTAAAATATACTAAATGGAACACTTAGTCATGTATCCTACTTTTCCAGTATTTTTATTGTTTAAAAATATTTCGTTCCCTGTGGAGATTTTACATCTGTGTAGGTGGTTGTTGTTTTTTTTATTTTATTTTTTTTGCTTTGATACTTAAAGTACAAGTTAATCCAGAACATTCACAACTGAAATTCCCTTTCAGGAATATGAAAACAATTGTGCAGCCCTGTCAGCCCACTGATGTAATGTTGTTGAAAGTCTAGTCAGAGGGGTAGGCGTCACTCATATTTGGGTTACATTTTGAAGGATTCCTTCCTATCTTTACACATAGAGACTGGCATTTTTAATGGAAGCTGAGGCTCTGGAGAAAATTGAGGTCTGGCTTCTCCCCAGTCTGCTCCTCTATGCTTTCCCAGGCAGAGTGTCCCATACCTTGGAATAGTAATAGAGATATAGCCGTATTAGTCTAGTCTAGCTGAAACAAAAAACAGGACTATGTAGCACTTTAAAGACTAACAAGATGGTTCATTAGGTGATGAGCTTTCGTGGGCCAGACCCATTTCCTCAGATCAAATTGTGGAAGAAAATTGGCATGACCATATATACCAAAGGGATACAATCAAAAAAAGTGAACGCATATAAAAAGGACAAATCAAATTTCAGAACAGGGGGGAGACGAGGAGGGGAGGTAAATGTCTGTGAGCTAATGATATTAGAGGTGATAATTGGGGAAGCTATCTTGGTAATGGGTAAGCATCTTTGTTGAGACCCAGGCGTAAAGTGTCAAATTTAAGTATTAATGACAGTTCAGAGGATTCTCTTTCAAGTCTGGTGTTAAAATGTCTTTGAAGCAGGATGCAGGTAATCAAGTAGTTGAGACAATGCCCTTTCTGGTTGAAATGGCAAGAAACTGTTTTTTCTTTGTGATCCTGTCTGATATCTGTTTTGTGGGCATTGATCCTTTGGCGAAGTGTCTGAGACGTTTGTCCAATGTACATAGCAGACGGAAACTGTCGGCACATGATAGCATAAATTATATTTCTGGATGAGCAGGAATATGTGTTCTTGATCTTATAACTCAATTAGTTAGGTCCAATAATGGTGTCAGCAGAGTAAATATGTGGACAAAAATGGCAATGGGGTTTGTTGCAAGGGAAAGTTCTAGGGTTGGTATTAGTGTGGTATGTCCCGTGATTGTTGGTAAGAATCATGTTGAGGTTAGGTGGTTGTCTATAGGAGACTATGGGGTCTGTTTCCCAGAGCCTCTCGGAGTTTAGTATCCTGTTCCAGTATAGGTAGTAGTTTATTGATAATGTGTTGGACGGGTTTAAGTTGGGGGCTGTAGGTGATGACAAGTGGTGTTCTATTGTTGGTTTTCTTGGGTCTGTCTTGAAATAGATGGTTTCTGGGTATTTGTCTGGTTCTTTCAATTTGTTTTTTTATTTCTCTGGGTGGGTAATTGAGGTTTATAAATGCTTGGTAGAGATCCTGAAGTTTCTGGTCTCTGTCAATGGGATTAGAGCAGATGCGGTTGTATCGAAGGGCTTGGCAGAGTAAAGAAGGTATAGCCCTCCTCCTTATGACACCTTTTTAGATATCTGAAAACTGCTGTCATGTCCCCCCTCAATCTTCTCTTTTCTAAACTAAACAAACCTAATTCCTTCAGCCTTCCCTCATGGGTCATGTTCTCTAGACCTTTAATCATTCTCGTTGCTCTTTTCTGGACCCTCTCCAATTTCTCCACATCTTTCTTGAAACGCAGTGCCCAGAACTGAATACAATACTCCAATTGAGGCCTAACCAGCGCAGAGTAGAGTGGAAGAATGACTACTTGTGTCTTGCTCACAACACACCTGTTAATGCATCCCAGAATCATGTTTGCTTTCTTTGCAACGGCATCACACTGCTGACTCATATTCAACTTGTGGTCCACTATAATCCCTAGATCCCTTTCTGCCGTACTCCTTCCCAGACAGTCGCTTCCCATTCTGTATGTGTGAAACTGATTGTTCCTTCCTAAGTGGAGCACTTTGCATTTGTCTTTATTAAACTTCATCCTATTTACCTCAGATCATTTCTCCAATTTGTCTAGGTCATTTTGAATGATGACCCTATCCTGCAGCTTAGTCGCAGCCCCTCCCAGCTTGGTTTCATCTGCAAACTTAATAAGCCTACTTTCTATGCCAATATCTAAATCATTGATGAAGATAGTGAACAGAGCCGGTCCCAAAACAGACCCCTGCAGAACCCCACTTGTTATGCCTTTCCAGCAGGATTGTGAACCATTAATAAGTGTGCCCAGGCCTGCCATGGACAGGTGCTGCTCAACATCATATCAGGGGGCTGTGGGACTGGAGCAGACCCCTGCATGCAGAGGGTGGGGAGCTACTTCAAACCCCTTTGGTTAACCAGAACCGGTAAGCATTAAGGGTGATTCTTACTGGTTAACGTTTCACATCCCTAAGCTGAAGCCTGAGCCCCAGTACTAACTGCCGAAGTTGATGCCCTCAAGCTTCAGCCCTAGGCAGGGATGCTCAGTTATAGGCTTCGGCCTGGGCTGAAGTCCTGGGGCTTCAGCTCTGGCATCCCTGTGCGGGACAGTTGCACTCAGGTTTTGGCTTTGGTCCTCCCAAGTGGGGAGGGCTCATACTTCATTCCCACCTTCTGGGGCTGTGTAGTAATTTTTGTTGTCAGAACAGGATCATAGTGCAGCGAAGCTTGAGAACTCTTGCAGTAGCAGCATTACAGAATGGGAGTGACTGGGAATGTACCTATCATGACAATATAGTACTCAGTCTCATACACAGAGTTCTTGAGTATGGAATTAACTGATGACTAACATGCCCATAAATATTACAAAAGTAGCTAACTGGCTAAACACATGGGTTCCTCCTAAACTTTTCCTATATAATTTGGGAACTGCAACATAGCCTAAGTGTAGTAGCTTCTGTGCCATGCAGACCAGGTCTTTTCAGAAGCTTTGCTCTAATCTTAAGGATATAACCTGTAGGTTTGGTGTTTGATGACAAATTTGTTTTCCTTACTACTCTTGCCTCCTTCATCTCCCCACTAACAGTCCGTACTAGCTGTGTGTTTAATGGAATGGCTAGAACAGTGCATCTTGAAAGCAAGCATCATATGTTGTCCAAAGATGGCTGTGTGTGTGACCATCTGTTAATGGAGAGCAATCATCTTTGGGGTCCCTGCAGCAAGTGGAGCGCTGTCCATTGCAGAAGGGAAAACAGGCTGGCTCTGGCCAAGGGGAATCTTCTCTGTATTTGTAATTTTGCCAGGGGGGCCTGCAGAATGTTAGGCCCTTGTGCAAGGTGGGGGGAGCCAGCTCCAAGCTCCTGGAAGAGATGGAGCCTCAGATAGAAGGGGTGGAGCTAGCAGCCAGCCATCCCCGCCACCCAAACCGCACCACTTGCCCCTTCCCCCTGGTGGCATTTTAAAGGGAGAAGCAGAGGTAGTGGCTGGCAGCCCTGAGTCCTTTTAAATTGCTGGGCTCCGGGGCAGTTTCCCCCTTTGTCTCCCTATCAGCTTGCCTGGATCTTGCTGAGCCATCAACCCGACACTCTCCACTTCCACAGTGGTCCTAAATCTGGTGGTTCTTCATTCTACACCAATTAATCCCCAGCTCCCAGTACAGTCCTCTCTGGGTGCTCATCTGCCCGGAGATGTTCATATTTTTTAGTGAGATGTTTCTCCCATGGTTATGTTGCAATCATTGGCCCTTTTGTTGCTGTTGCTATGGAAACTGTGGCTGAGAAGACCCCTCACTGCTCACTGCTGACTTATGTTCTGTCTGCTGCCTCTTGTGGCTCTTTAGGCTTCAGATAATAGGCCTCTGCTTCTTTGAGTGGTTGTACCTGTCAGAGTGCACTCTGTCCTCTTCAGGATGTCCTCCCAGAAAAAGGGTCTTGAAAGCGATATGAGCCTCTAAAGGGGAAGCTTAAAGGGCACACGTGCTGAGGAAGGAGAGGCTCATTGCTCGGTCTTCTGTCTGAGTGATTCAGTCTGCAGTCAGGTCTTCTGAGTTGTTCTTAGTTCAGTGACAGAGGAGTTTAAAAGTTACTTAACTCCTTGAGTATCAACAAGTGTTTCACTGCCCCATATGAAGCAGGTGTTGGAGAAAGCCTGCTCATCAGAAGATTTACTTAGTAAGGATGCATTAAAAATGAAAAACACAAAAGGGGATTTTAATAATACTGACAAAGGTTGGTAGTGAACAGTCTTAAATGTGAGTGGTAGATTCCTGCTAACATTATGTGTTAACATTATCTGCCACAGACAATAATAAATGCTGAAATGTAGGCCACTGTTGGCTCTGTCCCTTTTAAGGTGTACCCTGTGCATTTCCATGGGAGCCATTTCCTACTTTATTTCTCCTCCAGTTTCTCTCCTCCTTAAGAGTTACTTAGAGGGAGCATTCAAGGACACATAGAGGGTATAGATTTACTACAAGTACTCTACAGTACAGCTTGTGACATGAAAAGATTTTCATTTAACTCTCTCCTTTAGCATACCATAGGAGCCAGATCTGTCTCTTATAGCTATCCTGTGTACCGTACTGTTCCTTAAAATCAGCAGTCCCAGGCACTGTTGAGTAGTAACTATATGTTCAATAAAGTCCTTGACACCAGAGGTCCTTAAGAGAGTCACAGACCTTTTCAGGAATCTTCAACTGTTCTTCATTCCTTCAATTCTGTATTAGATTAAAAAAAATCCCAAAACCTGAATCTTTTATACTACTTGTGATTCAGCAAGGTTGCTCTCTTGTTTCTTTTGTGCTATAGTAGCTAAGACACACATTAAACTATGGTCCGTTTCTAGAACCCACCTGATTCAAACTAGGGCGATGACTAGGGCCATGGTGTAGACTATGTTTACGGATGCATAATTACATTCATTGGGTCATTTGAGGATTTATGCTGTACTTCTAGTTCTTTTCTTGATCCAGGCAACAGCTGAGAGTTGGCAGTTATTTTGACACATTCCTGGAAGCAGAGCTCAGTTGAGCCACAGATCTAAGTGAACTCTCTGAGACTCAGGAAAAGGCAGATTTAAATGCTTCTGTCCTGGGGTCACAGCTTAAAAGGTCTCTTTCCTTTCCTCTCTTGCTTCATTTTTTTAAAGTCCTCTTGCAGGTGCTTCTGGGGACTCCTAAGCAAGATAAAGCTTTGCTAGCCCTCTCTTAGTAGTCTTTGAAGCCTGACAGCCGTTTAGAAAGCTTTATTTCTTGGCTTTTATTTGTACAGGACACAGATGCTTTGCATATCCTATAGAAGGGATATTTCTTAAACGTTCTCCCTCAGTCTCCATTCTTCCTCTTGACTCCGGGCAGGGGTTGCCTTATGGGGTTTAGTTTAATGGATTTTGCATGTAGAATCCATTGCCTCTGAATATCTGGGCAGTAGGGACGCATCCTGTGTCCTCAGAGGGCCTACTGTATGTCTTTGCAAAAATGAACTCTCTCTGAGGTCTCATGCTGAGTACTGCTGAGGCTCCAGGCTTCTTTGATTACTGGTAGCACTTGTAAGAGCTATGCTACCAAGTGTATTTCAGTACTTAAAACATGTTCCTTGCCATCTAAACATGATAGCTGAAAGAAACATTTCACTTGAAGTGGGCCATACCAACAGACTCTCATCTGTAACCTTAAGAACCTCCCATGGTATCACAGAAGTCTAAATTGCCATCGTATGCCACTTGGTTTCCTCCAAAGCACTTATCCTTATTGGTACTGACAACTTGCAATGAAAGGGACTCATTGAAACAGACACCTCCCTTGGTTCTGCAAATCTTCTGAGTACTGTAGGAGTTTAAACATTCCCAAAACTTTTTTTTTTCCAGGTGAGACTGGTATTGTGGAGTATATTTGGCAGTTGAAAGAAAGTATAAAGAAATTCAAGACACTGAACAATGAGAAATATTGGTTTAAAATGTGTTTAAAAAGATAACGTAGACTAAACTGTTATTCCTTTTAAAAAAGCAATTATGGCAAGCACAGTACAGAATCTGTATTATTCATCTGTTTGTAACTTTTAGAGTGAGTCAAGATAAGGTTTAAATCTGACCACATCAACCTTGTGTTGATGCTCTTAATTAGGATTTTTTTCCCTAACAAGTTGTGGAGCAAGAGAAAATTTCTAGTGACTACCTTTTTTTTCCCCCCAACATGCATTTAGTTTTACCTCTCTTGCATAGATTGGCTTGTTTTGCAAATGAAGGATTCACAGCAACAATTCTAATGATACATTACATTTGAAATGACAAATATTATTTTGATGAATTTTATTTAAACAGTGAGGGTTGTTTTTTTATTTTGGTAAAATCTACTTCTGTGAGATTTTAAAAATTGGAATAGCTGTGGCTAGCTTAGAAATTGTTCAGACATAAGATTTGACAGCTGATACTAAATAAAAACTCTTCTAAAAAATACACAATGTTCAAAACCAAAAAATCCTTGTTGAATAAAAATAAAGTTGATGATCTAGCATTTCTGATGATTCTTGATTCAGTGATGAATAAACAAGTGCAGTAGTAATGAACTCTTAATATAAAATTATTTGATTTTGTGTGTGTGTTGTTGGTTTTTTTTGTACTTGGAACTGAATCGCTGCATTAACAAAGCCTGAGATAATTTGTACATCAGTTGGATTTTCTTTTAAAATGTGCAATTATCTTTTGTTTGCAGCAAAGCCAGAAAACAAAAGACATCACAGAAGACTTGGAAATAGCCATACTAAAAACATGCCAGTGTATGAATGAACTCAAAAGAGAAGTAAGTACAGCTTATGTAGACACCGTATGATGGTGATTTTGAATCTCCTTTATCTTTACATGTGTAGTGCAAAATAAGGCTCTTCCTCTGCAAAGACGTACACCTCAGTTTAACTGTACATGCTGTGAGTATTTCTGTTGACTCAGTTGAACGGTTTGATTGTCTTAATTGTATGCCTCTAAGTAGTATCACAGAGCCTTAACTTCCAACACTTACTCATGTGGGCAGAAGTCAGTGGGACTTAAGAGTACGGACTGTTCATGTAAGTGTTGCAGGATCTGTGGGACAACCTGGGACTGTGGGACCATTGTGCCCCCTTAAATTTGCACCCTGGGATGTCTGTCACAGCGCCCTGCTAGTGACAATCCATAAACCCCTCCAGGAGCACAACAGCACGTGGAACCTCACACCGAGCCAGAATGCATGAATACTCCCAAAGCCACTCATGAATCACACAGAAAAGGGCATCAGTCACATCCCACCTGCTCCCAGCCTTGGACCTCAAGAAGGTACTGTTTTGTGCTGCTCAAGATGAGCAGTGCAAATATATTAATTGGTTCACCACTTCATGAATGAAAGTAGATATATACCAGCCTTTGTATACCTGGGCAGATACCGAACACTTCAGGCAAATTCACTGGTAAAGATGAAGAGTAAAACAGATTTACTGACTACAAAAGTTAGATTTTAAGTGACTATAAGTGAGAAGCAAAAAGTCAGTGCTTACAAAAATAAAATACAAGTGTGCAATCTAAACTCTCAACTCTCTTAGACTTTACATTATCTAGATTAAGTAGTTTTTCTCTGGATAGAGCAGTCCTTTATATATAGGCTTGTCCTTTAAACCCGGGCCAGTCTTCTTGGAGTTTTTAGTCTTCTAAGTGTCCTGTGGCACATAGCATAGGGGAGGGGAAGGGCAGGAGAAAAGGCCATGTGTGGGCCCCTGTGTTCTGTTTTATGTTTTCTGTCCCATTTGCTTACGGAATACAAGTCCAGGCATATCTGGTGGGCAGGGCTGAATGCATAAGCAAGGGTGAGCAATTCTCAGTGTGACCGTAAGCAAGTGACTCATTGAATTGTAGTTCCCTTGTTTGAAACTTCCCCAGGCTTTGGTAACTTTCTCTGCTGTTGTGTCTGGGGAGACCAATTCCCCAGTTTACAGCATGTTTTAATGAAAACCATAAAACACAATCTCTTAACTTCATATGCAGTAATGTCATAGGGTACGTCTACACTACAACGTTAATTCGAACTAACTTAGTTCGAATTAGTTAATTCAAACTAAGCTAATTCGAACTAACGCATCTAGAACTGAAAACTAGTTCGAATTAGCGTTTTGCTAATTCGAACTAGCGCGTCCACATTAAGTGGACCCTGAACCAGGGTTAAGGATGGCCGGAAGCAGTGCCGGCAGGGCATCAGAGGAGGACTTAGAGCGTGGAACTGCTGTCTCAGGCTAGCCGAGGGCTGTGCTTAAAGGGTCCTGACCCCCACCCCGGACAGACAGTTCTCAGGGGTGCCCCGCTTGCAAAGCAGTCCTGGCTTGGATTGCCCGGAGTACCCACACTGGACACATCACAACACTCGACCATCAGCCCGGCTGCACTTGCTGCAGGCTGCCATCTGGGAGAGGGGGCAATTGGGGGGCTGCAGGAGAGCTTCCACCCCCAGAAGCCCGCAGAGCCAGCCCAGTCCTCCCCATCGGGGGCTCGTGCCCCATTCCTCCCTCAC